ATGTATGAATGTTTGACAGTGTTTCATGTTGACATATAGAGTTCTATAATATATATTAAACTGTGTTGCACAATGACAGCTTTACTGAGCCGAACAGTTAACGTTAGCAGTATTGTTTATTTAATACTTTGTTGTAATGTTCAAGACCGTCATGGAGACACTAATTGCATTGATTACCAAATGATTATGATAAAATATGTTCTACACCTTTGAATGTTTGATTTTGGGATACATTTGAAGCTAGGAGAGGAACACAAAGTTCAGTTCTTCATGATGTGATTTTTTATATGGGAGATGGTATTGGAGAACATGCATGCATGTACTATTTGTATGGTTATATTTATGTTTCTTTGTGGTGGATCTAGATCTTCCCAGTACTATCAGTAAAATATTTCTCGGATTAGAAGATATTTAATTGTCGTAATATGTTCTATTTATCTAAAAAGTTTATATAGAATTTAAAATGAAAAGGTATTGCAAAAATATTCTTGTTCCAAGATTTTTTTGTTATACGAATACAAATATTCAGTATTAAGCTAGTTTTGTTGTGGTATGAAAGTGCCAGTTAAAAACATTTACTGTTAATTCACACAATTTGACAAATTGACAAATGAATGATAGATGTTGAACAATGAAATATAATTTTAGAAATCAATTAGGGAAGATAGGCCCTATGAATTTGGTCCTTTTTTTTTACAATACTTAAGACATTTACATCTACTCAGGACTGTGTTATCAGCAGGCAGTGCATAAGTTTAATAAACTGCTTCGCTGAATTTGGATTGTATTTAAATATTTGACATATAGAGGTTTCTGAATAAATGTAGTCAAAGATCTTGAAATTGGTTATATGAATTGAATTTATATTCAATTAAAGATTTCTTACAGTTGTGCAATACTTAGTAAATCTGTTGTCAAGACTATAAACAAATAAAGTTCAATTAATTCTCAATGTCATATTAGAAATTTATGAAAAAAAAAAGGGAGCTTACTTCAATAGATATAAATAATTCACCAAAGTTTCATGAGAATTGGTGACAGCATTTTTGAGTTATTGTCCGAAAACTGGAAAATCACCCCTTTTTTTAATGAATAAAACCCCATAACTCAGAAATGTAAAATTTATAAAATTCTAAAGGGAGCTTACATCAATACATACAATCAATTCACCAAATTTTCATAAGAATTGGTGGAGGTATTTTTGAGTTTTTGTCCGAAAACTGGAAAATCCCCCCTTTTTTTATGAATAAAACCCTGTAACTCGGAAACGTAAAATCTAAAATTTATAAAAATCAAAAGGGAGCTCATGTCAATAGATATAAACAATTCACCACAATTTCTTGCAAGTTGGTGAAAGCATTCTTGACTTATTGTCCGAAAACTGGAAAATCCCCCTTTTTTTAATGAATAAAAACCCATAACTCGGAAACGTAAAATCTAAAACGAAAGGGAGCTCACGTCAATAGATATAAACAATTCACCAAAGTTTTATGCAAATTGGTTAAAGCATTTTTGAGTTAATGTCCGACATGTTGACGACGGACGGACAGAGGTATACAATAATACGTCCAGTAAACGGGCGTATAAAAAAGGGTAACAAAATCACCTAGCATCATATTCATGTTAACATGGTTAATGATATTGCTAGTAGCAAGAGAAGTATTGTTTTGGTAATTTGTGTGTTTTTTTAATTTGGCTTCTGGACACATCTTTGGTGGTTCAAACGTAAATAAAATGCTATAATATGTTTCTCCCCATTATTACTTACATATAACGGATACTTCTACAATTCCTTGTGCAGATTAGAGTTGTTTGTCAAATCTTTATTTCACAAGGAATGAATTGCATAACAATGAACTGAGCTCAAAGCAAAGCACTTAAATAATACACTTAGTCAAAGAGCTCAATCCAGTGATATACTTTGTACTACAGGTCCTTCATGAATATCCACTTCTCACAAAAATGCCATACTACATGTACATGGATGGATCTGAAGTCCTGAAAAAGAAAAAAAAACTTAAATTTTATATCATATTTTCAGTATACATGTACATGTACGATATAAATGGGGAACACCGGTTAAAACTTTCACATAGTTGTGGTCAAATCATTGGGTACATAAATTGCTTCATGCACAAATTGATATAGGCTGAGTACCCCTCTGTTTAAAATAAAATATCATACCTCCACCTAATCATAGTAAACTGAAAAACAAACATTCAAAACTTTAAAATGTTATTAGACTGTCACTTATCAGTGTCTATAGCTATTTACCATCAAAACTAAATCAATAATATAAGACTCAGATTGACATCCCTCTCTAATGTCCAAATGAAATGAGATTCCTAATCTACCACCAATTTAATACCCCTCTAATTATGCTAATGGACAGCTATCTGATGTTTTCAAATCAATGCCCCAAAATATTGGCTTCTCTAATTGACATCCTTTTTACAGACAAGCCCAATGAAATCACAGTTTTCTTAAATGGTAGGTGGAACCTAAAACTCAAAATTTTTTAAATGTTACATTTTAAACCTTCAAATACATGTAATTACATATTTTTATTAATAAAATTCTTTTCAATAATTTACAATTTTTTAAAAATTTTGTCTATTGTTATACTGTACATGTATATTAACCTCTAGATGTCTTTCAATTAAGCCCCTGTCACACTTTACCTGATAGAGCGAACGGACAACTATTTTTCAATCCATTCATATCTGTTAGACGTCCGTCCATATGCTTTCATCTTCCGTTTTATCAGTCGACGTCCGTTCTGTCTGGTGGAAAATTTTGAGCATGTTCAAAACTTTGAAGGGACGTCCAATGAGTGAAGTGTTCGTTTAACGTCAGGTAGTTGTCCCTTTTTAACAATACTCGTTCGTTTCCTTTCCGTTTAGTATCCGTTGCAGGTCCTGTAGATCAATTCACTAACAGACGTATAACGGATGATGAACGGACATGAACAGAAGGATAACGGATAAAACGAATATGTACCGAATGTAAAACGAATAAATGTCAATTGAAATATTCGCGTTAGAAATACCAATTATTAGTTTGTCAGATTTCTTGAATGTTATAAATGTTTATTAATCATGATGGATTGTTGAGTAAGAGCATGTCTTCACTATCAAGCAGCTCTTATTAAGCCCAGACTGAACTTAAATGTTGCAAATATAAACCTTCTAGACTATAAACTAAAACCAGTTACACAGAAACTTTTTAATTATTTTAAAGTCACGTTTATGTGAATTACATGTAACAATATTGCCACCTTTAAATTTTCTCTTATCTTGTTCACCCGTTTTATCAGGTTCGCGTCCGTTAGGTGTCAGTTTTATGCGGTACTTTTCCGTTGGATGTACGTTCAACATCCGTTCTGTCCAGTATGTTTCAGTTTCTCGTACGTTACATATCCTGCATGTGTCTATTAGCCATTAGTTACTCGTCCACTTTATATGGTCAGTACACCAACGGACTCCCAATGGATACACATTTTGTCAACGGAAAACCTTTTTTTCATCCGTTCGGAGTCCCTTCGAGCTATCCGTTAAGGTGTGACCACAGCTTAACATTCAGTTTGGCTTTGTCTGATTGTAGTACATTTGTACATGTAAAATTGACGTGGGATTCATTCATATAATAAAATATTCGCCAAAGCTCTTAATTAATTAGGCAACCATAAGGCCTTCAAAAATCAGAAAACCCCATACTTTATCTATAGTCGGCTTTAACAGAGCCCAACACGTTTTTATTGTGATACAGTTTATATTGATAAGATTAATACAATAAAATGCTCCGCAGGGCGCAGCTTGATACGACCGCAGAGGTCGAACCCTGAACAGTTTGGGCAAGTATGGACACAACATTCAAGCTTGATACAGCTTTGCATTTGGATTGTGATTAAATATTTGACACAGCATAGGTTTCTGACACAGAATGAATGTGGTCTAAGAACTTAAAAATTTTAAATTGGACATTCACCTATTATGGTCCAATATCCAAAATCTAAATACATGGTTAGATTCAGCATATCAAAGAACCCCAAGAATTCAATTTTTGATGAAATCAAACAAAGTTTAATTTTGGACCCTTTTGACCTCAATGTGGACAAAGTTGATAACGGGGCCCAAAAATCAAAAATCTAAATACATGGTTAGATTCAGCATATCAAAGAACCCCATATATTCAATTTTTGTTGAAATCAAACAAAGTTTAATTTTGGACCCCGACTTGGACAAACTTGAAAACTGGGCCCATAATAAAAAATCTAAATACATGTTTAGATTCAGAATATCAAAGAACCCTAAGAATTCAATTTTTGTTAAAATCAAACTAAGTTTAATTTTGGACCCTTTGGACCTTAATGTAGACCAATTTGAAAACGGAACCAAAAATTAAGAATCTAAATACACGGTTAGATTCAGCATATCAAAGAACCCCAATAATTCAATTTTTGATGAAATCAAACAAAGTTTAATTTTGGACCCTTTGGACCTCAATGTGGACAAATTTAAAAACGGGACCCAAAATCCAAAAACTTAATACACGGTTTGATTCAGCATATTAAAGAACCCCAAGAAGTAAAGAATAAAACCCCATTGAAATTGGTCAAGAAATAAGCAATTTATACGAAGTATCTTCTTTTGCACAATACTGTGCAATTAAATATTTCTTGCTATTGCACAATACTGTACAATTGACAATTTCTTGCTATTGCGCAATATTGTGCTATTGGATATTTCTTGCTATTGCGCAATACTGTGCAATTGAAGATTTCTTGCTATTGCGCAATACTGTGCAATTGAAGATTTCTTGCTATTGTGCAATACTGTGCAATTGAAAATTTCTTGCTATTGCACAATACTTATTATATAATAATTTACACATCCTGTTTGGTGTGTATCTCCTACCATATCATTATTATTTGCTTTTAAATATAATCAGAAATAACCAACTTAAAATGGAAAATTTAAAAAGAAAAAAAAGGAAACCCCCCCCCCCCCCAATTTTTTGAACCCCCTTATGATTCATCACCCCCAAACTCAATCACAGCCTTCCCTTTGTGGTATGGTACCTTGCAGTACAATTTCAGAGAGATCCATACACTTGAACACAAGTTATTGTCTTGAAACTAGAAAAATGTGTTTTTTTGCCCCTTTTTGGCCCCAAATTCCTTAACGTTTAGGGCGATTACCCCCAAACTCAAACCCAGCTTTCCCTTTGCGATATGAAACCTTGTAGTACAATTTCAGAAAGATCCATACACTTACACACAAGTTATTGTCCTGAAACTAGAAAAATGCTTGTTTTTTGCCCCTTTTTGGCCCCTAATTCCTAACACATTGAGGCAATTACCCCCATCATCAATCCCAGCCTTCCCTTTGTGGTATGGTACCTTGCAGTACAATTTCAGAGAGATCCATACACTTGAACACAAGTTATTGTCTGGAAACTAGAAAAATGCTTATTTTTGGCCCCTTTTTGGCCCCCAATTCCTAAATGATTTGGCAATTACCCCCAAACTCAATTCCAGCTTTCCCTTTGTGATATGGAACCTTGTAGTACAATTTCAGAAAGATCCATACACTTACACACAAGTTATTGTCATGAAACTAGAAAAATGCTTGTTTTTTTGCCCCTCTTTTGGCCCCTAATTCCTAAAATTTTGAGGCAATTACCCCCAAAATCAATCCCAGCATTCCTTTTGTGATATGGAACCTTGTGGTAAAATATCAGAGAGATCCATACACTAACACACAAGTTATGTCTGGAAGTTACAAAAATGCTTATTTTTGGCCCCTTTTTGGCCCCTAATTCCTTTACTGTTGGTACCATAACCCCCAAAATCAATCCCAACCTTCCTTTTGTGGTATTGAACCTTGTGGTAAAATTTCATAGAGCTCCATTCACTTAAACTAAAGTTAGAGTGCGAAAACCAATGTGTCTTCGGACGACGCCGACGACGACGCCGATGTCATACCAATATACGACCACAAAAATTTTTTTGCGGTCGTATAAAAACCTTTCAAGACATCATAATTATTTGCATTTGTTCTGTTGATTGGTAGTGATATAAAGACACAAATGAGATCAAATCTATATAGTTCAGCTCAACTGTTTTATGGTAAATCAGTTGTAGTAGGTTGTTTGAAGCTAGCAGCATATGCAACTTTGTACATCTTTTTCAGGTCTGCAATCAATATAAAAATCAGAATGTTTGGTATGATTACCAATGAGACAACTATCTACTGAAATTCAAATGACAAATACAGCCTTCAAAAGAGGAAAACCCTTGTTGGCTGTCAACAGTCCCTACTGGAAAAGTAAACAACAATTCAAATGAGAAAATCAATGGCCTGATTTATAATTAATTTAAACAACAGGTTGGGATCCCCCCTCCAATGAGGAATATCCCTTAATTTGCTGTTCGAAAAATGAAAAAAAGAAAATGTAGCTTTTTTAACTAAGAGAGGTGCGCGGTGTAGAGGACGGGGGATTCATTAAATTCGAAACAACTTTTTTAAAGGATGGATCAACTTATTTTCAATATTGACAAGGCCAAAATTAAAATTAAGTTTGTTTCCCCACGCCCCGACCGACTCAGAAAATAGCCGCCGACTCAAAAAAAATTTTTGAGTTCTGAGTTGAAATTTTATTTTTAAATATCTCGGGTATCTTTTACTGAGTTTATTATTAAATAGTCCATTCATATTTTTCAAAAATATATTCCTTTAGGATAAGGGGGACTGGCCAAATTCTTTGCAGTTTTTAAATTTTTCTAATAATTTAAAACTGAAAAATCATGTTAATATAAAGAAAATTAAGGGGGTAGACATTCTAACACTTACATTAAAGTTGCTACAAATGATTATATGTGCCAGACATACACATGATCGATTTGTTTTGCTCTGTTGGGTATTAAAAAAAAATTATCAAGATATAAAAAAAAAACAAAAAAAAACACCTACCTACCTACCCACCAGGCACCTACAACAATGTGGGTAGGGGTGTGGGGAAACATACATTTTTTTAATTGTGGCCCAATAAATAATTCAGATTGAAGTCCAGCTGGGAACAGTATCTCTGTAATATATAGATTCCAAATTGTGGACAAAACCAACATCAAATGTTGATAATGTTCTATGATAGGATATCAAATTAAAAGACAGTCAGTAAATTCAATGCAGAGACGAATTAATTGTCGAAGGTGATAAAATCAAATGTGTCTTTCCTGCGTACATGTCATGTGTAAAATGGGATATACCATTTACAGGGCTGTACTGTCCTTCATATTTAGGCCAATTTCACACAGCAAAATATAAGGAACATGTTTACATTATATAATGTTTCTTTATTAAGGAAGTTTATCAATAAATGAAGTTGTTTTTCGCACAAAAAACTCTTAGTACATGTAACATACCTTAAAAGTACATGTATGTTACTCAATGAGACTCGGAATACTGTATATGTACGTTTTTACGCGAGTACTTATTTTCGCGATTTTGTTGTTGTTGATGAATTCGCGTGTATTTAATTTCGCGATATTTCCAAAAATATCAGAACATAAATTACAAACTTAAAATTTATAAAATTTTCATTAATTAGGTCTCCATTTATTTAACAATATGAAACAAAATAAACAAAGATTATTCAATCATAAAGTCAGTCCTGTGTTTTGATAGATGTCCAATAACCTGATTAAATCGTTAATTACTTAATATAGCTGTCAAATTTAGCTTGGGATATTATTTTCCACCTATTGTCCTTTTATTCTAAATTAAATTTCTGTAAAAATAACTGGTGTTGTTTTAACAGTTTCACGGTTCAAAGGGGTTATCTGAAACCAACAAGGTGAACATGCATATACAGTTGTAAATTCCAGCGATATTTATTCAATGGTTTTTATATGGAAGAAATCTGCATTCGAGTTCGCGTGTATTTATTTTCGCCAAAAATATACCTACCGCGAAATTCGTGAAAATAAATACACCGCGAAAATTAGTACATATACAGTATAAACAACCCCTAAAATATATGGTCAGATCATGTTTACTTATGTCATATGTTTTTCGTACTATGCATGCTTTTTCAATGGAAATCGTGACGCCATAATGCATTCTTAATATAACAAAAACTCATAAGACGAGGATAATGTATATAAAATCCTCTTTAGCCATTTTTATAAAGCCTTTAAAGGTGAAAGACATATAGAATTCACGAAATTTACACAGATTCTGTTGATTTTATCAGTTGAATGGTCAGAAATGAGATTAAATATACATACATTGTCATTAAAGTTGTCATTTGTACCGAAGACGTTGAAGGAAGAAGATCAGGGAAGCAGGAGAGGGAAGAGTTAAAAGCAGGATTAGTTAAATAGTGAAGTGTTTGAAACCTGCGGACAGGATATAGAAAGGCTGAAACAGTTGGTTCGGTACAAATATCCAAACAGGGCTGGTGCTTATGTTTTACGTTACACATCTCTCACTATTGCATTAAGTGTTTGCTGTTAACCCTTTCCTCCATAATGACGCCTCTGTATAGTACCTCAGTTGAAACACTTTGACTACGAAATGTCTGTATCAGACTTAATAAAATTTGTATCCAATATAAAAAGGATATTCATAAAAACATCTGACTTGAATTTCATTGATGAAATATTTGTTTTCGCAATGCATTAATACTTTAAACGTGCTGATTTTTTTTATAAATAGCCGTCGCCATTTTTTCGAAGTTCTTGTTGACAACCAAGTTTCAGAACACTGACATTGTCACGTTAACTACATTTATTGTTGGTTATTAATACCAACTGGTTATAAAATACCTAATAATCAATGTTTACGATACAGTTTGCGTTAAAAATTATTTTCCGTAAGAAAAACTTTATTTTGAAACTCCGAGTGTTCACTGCCGCTTTTCTCGCTTTGGAGTCGTACATTATTGCAACAAAAGCATTTTTTTTTTTAAAACTTACGTTGAAATATCAGAAATTTAATGAACAACGCGGAGATATGCAGTCGAGTCCATACAATTCTTTTCTGACCCATTGAGTGAACAAATATAGCAACTTGTAAAATGTAAACATGTGTTTGGGGAATCCCATTATACGACTTCCGGCGAGTCATTAAGTGGGCGGGAACATACAAATTTTAATGACCACAAAAAAATCTTTCAACGTACAATCTTTCAATGTTTTTGCTTATAGAAAGTGACATTTAAGTTTCAATCATAATTATTTTAAGTTCTTCAATTAAATTAACGAGAATAGCGAATTATGCAACAATATTCAGCATCCGTAAGTTGTGATTCTAAGCCCCGCCCACCAATAGAATTTACCGTTTTTACAGTGATGTTTACACAAACAAAAGATGATGAATATTTTTTCCGCGATGTTTATTTCAACAATTATGAAGGCATATGGTTCCGTGAACCACTTTGTTTTAGTAGTAACAATTTGACTAACAAATTAGAGCCTTAACTTTGCGGTTCACTTCCCATTTATAAAATATGTCAGACTAAAAGAACAGACATACGTGCATTTTTCTCTTCACGATTTTCGCCGTATTTCGGGTTTCAGAGAATCAAAATTCGAGATAGAAGTAAAAATGTAGTTAATCATTTGATTAAAAGCTACCTTAAATTTAAGCAACCAACTGATCAGCACATCTTATTATTAATGTTTAGTAGAGGAACAACAGGAATATCAAATAATATTAGTATCCTAAACTTTGATGAAAGAACATGTCATGTTCATACATTGTATGTTGCAAATTTTTTTCAAGTTGATTTTTGAGGAACTTGTTTTCTACTTCCACTGGCTGTTAATGACTAATACTTTGTTAGTCTGGGAGAAAAAAAAAACCTATTAATAGTTATAATTAATTGGCTTTAAACTAGCTTTCAGTAACTGTGTACTCTTAGATCAATACTCACTCACTCACTTGTTTTGTTTTTTTTAATTTTTTTTATATGTACTTCTTGCCAATCTAATGAGGCAAGTCAGCCATTAAAGAGCATGTGTTTGGATGGATGCTTAGCACTCCTATCTACATCGATTCAAGCCATTCAAAGCAGACTTTTACATTTTATTCCTATTTTGATGCCCCTGCCGTAGCGGTGGGGGCATTAAGTTTTACCCTTGTCCGTCTGTACGTACGTACGTACATCCCAAAATTGGTTTCCGTTCTCTAACTTGAGTTTGCCTCAACCAAATGTTATGAAACTTATACACAATGCTTATTACCACAAAACACAGATCAAGTTTGAATTTGGGTAGTGTCACTTTAACCATTATTAAGTTATGCTATACACAATATTCATTACCACAAAACTAAGATCAAGTACAAATTTTTTGTTTCCGTTTTCTAACTTTATGTTGCCTCAACCAAATGTTATGAAACTGATACACAATGCTTATTACTACATGATACAGATTAAGTACGAAATTTGGTGGCGACACTTTTACCATTCTAGTGTTGTGTCCCTTTATTATCATAAAAATTGCTGAATTTTTTAGTTTGTCTCAACTAAATGTTATAAAACTTATACACAACCGTTCTAGAGTTATGCGTGTTTACAAATAGAAAAATTGCTGAATTTTAGTTTCTGTTCTCCACTTAAGTTAGCCTCAACCAAATTTATGAGACTTACACACAATGCTTATTACCACAAAACTCAGATCAAGTTCAAATTTGGGTAGCGTCACTTTTACCGTTCTTCAGTTATGTCCCTTTATAACTATATGATATGCAAGCGGGGGCATCATCTGTGTCCACATGTGGACACTATCCACAGTTATTGTCTATTTGAATCACTGCCCAAGTTTGTGTTGCACAGTCTTAAGTTTTCTATATAGTGTTTTGTATACTGTTGTCTTTTTTCTTTTTCGTTGTTTACCATTGTGTTGTCAGTTTATTTCAACTTATGCGTTTGAATGTCCCTTTTTGCCTCTCTTTGGGGAGTAATGTGCACTCATAATCATAATTAACACAACCACATTATGTATGTCAGAGCTCCAGAT